TCCGAAGGCTGACGGTGCACATGCACTTGGCGCCTTGTGCACGTTTGGACGAGGGTTTAATGGAGACACGTGGGAAGAGGCTTGGTCCCTGGTGGACCCCCCAAAAAAGCCTTTTGGGGTGGCCCAGCGGGTGTTCGGGGTTGGGAAGGAAGAAAGAGTGTGAGTGTGTGAATGTCTGTCCTAAGGAAGAGAAGGATGGCTAAAGGAGACTTGATTTTCTTGGATTTGCTGCAATTCCTTAAACCAAACCAGTCTTTCGAGGCCTTAAAGTAAATTACGGGTAAGTGGGGACGGATCTCTGGAGGAAATAAAAAGCCCCCCCGCCCCCGCCCCGGGTTTTCGGGGTAGCGGGCTTGGCGGGTATGCTCTCCATGCAGCTTCTGACGTTATCTCACCTGGCGGGGGGGATTGAGGGGGGGGTGCTGCGTGGGTGGTGCATGTGTCTTTGGCTTAAGGTGCTGAAGCTGGGGCACTTGTCTTGGGTAGACTATGGGACTTGAAGGAGGCAAAAAACTGTAGTGCTGTCTGTTATGCTCAGTTAACTTTAGAACCTCAGTCTCTGTTCTCTGTTTCTCTCTATACACACACGCGCACATGCACGCACACATGCACACACACGAACCCTGGTGTGGTCTGCTTGCCTCTCTTTTTCTTTCTATCCCTCCCCCCTCTCAAGCACATCCACACACTCAACACACACACACACACACACACACACACACACACACACACACACAACCACACACACACCATGGTTGGGTCTGTTATTCTAAATTAACTCCAGATCTCTCTCTCTCTCTCTCTCTGCCTCTCAATCTCTCTCATCTCTCACTCTCAATCTCTTTCACTCTCAATCTCTTTGGTCTTTCTTAGTCTCTCTTGTCTCTCAATCTTGTGTATCTCTCTCAGTCTCTCATCTCCATCGCTCTCAATCTCTCTTGTCTCTCTCAATATCTTATCTCTCAATCTCCTGTCTCTCAGTCTCATCTCTCTCAATCTCTCATTCCTCTCTCTCTCTCTCTCTCTCTCTCTCTCTCTCTCTCTCTCTCCTCTTACAGATCTCATTTCATGGCTGCTTTGACTCACTAATAGTTGCTTATGGATCTTTATTAATTGCTTGTTATGCTCACGAATTTTTATTCATTTGACTTTTTTTAAAGAAGAAAAAAGACCTATCTGTATTAAAATCTGTGGGGTGTCCTAAAGATCTTTCAGCATTCATTCATATTCGAACTAGGAATACAGCAGTAAATAGCCCACCTAGTCTGTTTATATTGAACAAAGCTCTAGTTCATGTTAGAATTAATATTATTATTTTAAACAGACATTTTACAATCATGTGACAAAGTAACCTTTCCCTAGATTGCTCCCTCTCTTTTCTTCATGGGAATTTACAGAATTTTTGATTACTCGATTAGCAAAATGGTGAAGTTATCTTCTAATTTTAAGGGACAGGTCTTGAAATGGTTGTAGGTTGGCCTGTGGATGGGTTCTATAACTCCACCTCTTACTTTAATGAACTGATCAGAGTAGTGTTGATCTGAGACTTATATATGCTTTGATTTCTAAATAATTTATCAAAACATTGGAGGAGAGGGTCTCCTTACTAAATTTCCACACAGGAGAAAGAGCACTATTATTTCCTGGAGCCAAGATTTTGCCACTTTCCCCCCAAATGTCCCTGATAGATGCCTAGAAAAGATGCATGGTTGATGAATAATACATTGTTTATTTCCCTTTTATGTCTACAGGTGGCAGTGCAGAAGCCAAAATGGGAGCTTCTAGAAGTGGTTTCTGAAAAATAAGACCGCATATACACAAGTAAGCAAGCACAGGAATCTGAAAAAACCACAGGTATGTAAAACAATTAAGCCACCTATCTGGTTTTATAATTATTGCATTCCACTATCGACATTTATATAGACTTTTATGAAGTGAAGCACTTTGAGGTGGTCTCAAAGGAGAAAACATGTTTATTCTATCTCAGACAATGTATTTAAATAAAAAGGCTTGGTTTCATTGTTGCATTCTTTTTTACCATTCTAAAAGAGAAGCACTGTTTGTGACCATGTGCCTTTGCATTTAACCAGTTGTTGCTTGATACTTGTTTTTAAGAACATTTTTCCTGAGATCAACCAATGAACTTGTATGCATATATGCATAACCCATGGACATAGACAATGGGGTGGTGAAGGCCTGGGGTGGGGGAACAGGAGCAGGCTAGAAGGTGTTAATGGGGGGGAAAGAGGATCTTTGTAATACTTTCAATAATAAATATTTTTTAAAAGACAAATATAATTTTAAAAAAGAACACTTTTCCTGAAGCTGTATAAAACTGCAATGGTTATGAATAATTTCATTTGGGTAACAGTTTAACAGACTCATCTTGTTGAGCCAATGTGACAAGTGTTTGCTTTTCACAAAATCTGCATCTCATTGTTGACTTGATGTCTCACTTAGCAGAATACCGAAATACCGATGCATTAGGTATTCTTTTAAGCCAGGTTCTTTTAAACCAGCTCTTCTCTCTTTAACCATCTCATCATTTTTCTCCTCCTACCTTGCTGCTTTTCTAAGCCCAACATGTAAGATGTACCTTCATAATTCACCCACTTGACTGAACTAACGACAGGTTTAATATGAGATCAAAGACAATCAAGGTCAAAAAAATTTTTTCATTATGACACAGTTAAAAAGAATTTCCCTTTGATTATCATTAAAATGCAATATTTTGCATATTAAGACCCTGTTTCTTTTTATTAAAGTATAGTTGACATACAATATTATTTATAGTTTCAGGTGTACAACATGCATAGCCAATGGTTATATTCCTTACAATGTAATCACCAGAATAAATCTAGTAACCATCTGTCACCATACAAAATTATTATGATAATATTAAGGCCCCTTTTCAACAATTGAGTAGCACAGTGTTATGAATGGTAGAAGAAGCCAGAAGGGGGAAAGGTTCACCTTTGTGGATTTTTGTTTTTCTTCCTTAAAATGGTGGGTCACGGTGCTCTCACAAGGAGGCTAAAGTTATTATGTTGGCTATAAAAGGATCAGGCATCAAAATGGCTGTTAAGAGAATGAAGCTTTCTTTCCTGAGGGGGTGTAAGTGTTCATCACAGTGCCAGAATGCGATGATATCTTGTGATTTTTGACATTCTGCCTTTACAGCTGAAGAGGGATTTTTTTTAGCCCCTGCCAATGAGGGTGTAAAACAAAATCAGATGCCATTCTTGAAGCTTAAAAATATCAAATTAGACATTTAACCCATAGAAAGCAAATTGAGAGCTCTGAAAGTATAGACTCAACTAAAGACAAAGTTTCTTACTGTAAAAAGCCCATGGCCTGGCTGGCATGGCTCAATGGTTGAGTATCAACCTATGAACCAGGAGGTCACATTTTGATTCCCAGTCAGGACACATGCCCAGGTTGTGGGCTTGATCCCCAGTAGGGGGTGTGCAGGAGGCAGCTAACCAATGATTCTCTCTCATCATTGATGTTCCTAACTCTCTCTGACTTTCCCTTCCTCTCTGAAATCAATAAAAATATATTTTAAAAAAAGATGGACCTCAGCTATCAAGCCCAGACCACTTTCTTTTTTGTTTGTTTTTTTTAAATATATATATTTCTTTATTGGTTTCAGAGAGAAAGGGAGAAGTAGAGAGAGATAGAAACATCAATGATGAGAGGCTACCTCCTGCACACCCCCACTGGGGATCGAGCCCGCAACCCAGGTATGTGCCCTTGGCCAGAATCAAACCTGGGACCCTTCAGTCCACAGGCCGACGATCTATCCACTGAGCCAAGCCGGTTAGGGCCCAGACCACTTTCTTAAAAAACAAAACAAAACAAAAAAACCCAAAAACCATGGATATGAAGTGGCTTCAGGAAAGCTAGCGAACATTTAGGAACATGTAAATTTGCACTGCATGGACCTTAAATACATTACCTGACTCAAGAAACTGGGAAGTAACTAATCATCCCCCAATGTATCTAAGAGGAATAAGCTCTAATCTTCTAAGTCAGAAAGGAAAAGAGCACAGTTGAGCTTTTATTCCTTTTTTTAAAGATATTTTTTCTTTATTGATTTCAGAGAGAGGAAGGGGAAGGGGAGAGAGAGAAACATCAATGATGAGAGAGAATAACTGATCAGCTGCCTCCTGCATGCCCCCTACTGGGCATTGAGCCCGCAACCTGGGCATGTGCCCTGACCAGAAATCAAAGGGGAACAGACTGACATACCTCGATGTGAGGGTGGGGAGACAAGGAGAGATAAACTAAAGAACTTACATAGTTATATGCATAGCCCATGGACACAGGCAATAGGTTGGTGAAGACTTGAGGGGGAGGTAGGGGTTGGGCAAAGGGGAGTACAGGGGTAAGTGGGAGATAATCTGCAATAGTGTCAACAATAAAAAAATATATATTAATAAGAAACAAACAAACAAAAGTGGTGACTTCCTGTATCATGGGTCGACATTCAACCACTGAGCCACACCAGCCAGGCTTATTCCTTTTTTGAATTATAGCATTCTCATTATAGAGACATTAAGTGCTTTAGAGATATTTTATTTTTAAGGTAACATACCTTAAAAATAAAGTGTAAAATGCATTAATCCAGCGGTTCTCAACCTGCGGGTCGTGACCCCTTTGGCAAACGACCCTTTCACAGGGGTTGCCTAAGACCATCCTGCATATCAGATATTTACATTACGATTCATAACAGTAGCAACATTACAGTTATGAAGTAGCAACGAAAATAATTTTATGGTTGGGTCACAACATGAGGAACTGTATTTAAAGGGCCAGAAGATTGAGAACCACTGCAATCGAAAGTGTATTTTTTATATGTGTGTTCCTCCATGTAACCACCACCCAGGTCAAGATACAGAACATTTCAAGCGCCCCAGAAGATTTCCTCCTTTTTACACTTCTGGTCAGTTTTCATCCCACTTCCAACCTGAAGGTTAGTAACCACACTATGATTTTTAAAGACTCCACTTGCTAGTTTGTCTGCTATTAAGCTCCATATAAATAGTATCATATAGAAGGGATTCTTAACTTGTATGTCTTCTTTCATATAACAATGTCTACAAGATTCATCTATGTCATAGTGCATATTTGTAGTTCATTCTAGTCTATTGTTGAATAGTAATTCAATTGTATGGATATACCACAATTTATCCATTCTTCTATTAGATCTTTGAATTGCTTCCAGTGTGGCTAATACGAATAAAGCAGCTATGAACATTCTTGCTTATGTTTTTGTGTGTGTGCACATGCCCACTCATTTCTCTAAGAGTGAAATTGCGGGGTCATAGAGTAGGCTTATATTTAGCTTTAGTAGATGTTGCCAAACAGTTTTTCAAAGTGGTTGTACCAGCTTAAATTCCAAAAGTAGTGTACAAAAATTCCAGTTGTGTTACATTTTCACTAACACTTGGTTCAGTCTTTTTAAATTTTAGCTATTTTGGGGACTGCATATTGGATCTCCATGTGGATTTTTAAATTTAAAAATTTTAATTGTGGTAAAATATACAAAATATAGAATTTATCATCATAACCATTTTTTTTAATTGACAGTTAGTGGTATTAAGTACATTCACAGTGTTTTATAACCATCACCACCATCCATCTCCAGAACTCTTTACCTCTTGGAAAACTGAAACGGTAACCATTAAACAACGAATCCCCATTCTGTCTTTTCCCAGGCCCTGAAAATCACCATTTTACTCTGTCTCTATGAACTTGACTACTTTAATTACCACATATGAGTAGAACAACAGAATATATATTCTTTTCTAACCAGCTTATTCCACTCAGCATAATGTCCTTAAAATTTATACATGTAGTAGCATGTGTCAGAATTTCTAATATTTGTCTGTTGGTGGACACTTGGGTTGCTGTCACCTTGTTGCTGTTGTGAAATTGCTGCCATGAACATGGGTATATAAATATTTCTTCAGGACTCTGCTTCCCATTTTTTCGGGTACATACCCAAAAGTGGAATTGCTGGGTTATATGGTAATTCTATTGTCAATTTTTGTAGAACCACCATACTGTTTTCCAAAGCTACTGTACCATTTTACATTCTTAACAATGTACAAGGGTTCCAGTTTCCCCACATCCTTGCCAACACTTGTTATTTTCTGATGTGTTTTCTTATAGTAACCATTCTAATGGATGTGAGGTGATCCTTATGGTTTTAATTTGTTTCCTGGTAAGTACTATTGTTCAATGTCATTTCCTAAACTTACTGTCATTTGGATATCTTGTCAAATTCCTGTTAAAATCTTGCCCATTTTAAAATTGGATCATTTATTGTTGTTGTTTTAAATTTCTTTGTCCGAGTTCTTTTATATTCTACATATGAATTCGTGTTCAAATATATGTATTAGAAATGTTTCCCCAGTTTGTGGCTTGCCTTTTCACTGTCTTCATGGTATCTTTGGATGATTATTTTTAAATCCTCATCCAATTTTTTAAAAAATTGATTTTAGAGAGAGAGGGAGATGGAGAGAGAGAAAGAAACATCGATGTGAGAGAGAAACATCAATCGGTTGCCTCCCAGATGCATCCTAAGGATTGAACCCACAACCTGGGAATGTGCCCTGACAGGGAATCGAACCTGTGACCTTTTGGTGTATAAAACAATACTCTCATACTGAGCCACACTGTCCAGGGATCTTTTGATGATTTTTAATGAAGTTCAATGATCAATTTTTTCCTTTATAGCTATTGCTTTTTGTGATCTATTTATGAAATCTCTGTCTACCTTGGGGTTATTTTTAAAAACTTTTTAGCCTGACTGGTATTGCTCAGTGGTTGAGCATCATCCTAGAAACCAGGAGGTCAGGGTTCGATTTCCAGTCAGGGCACTTGTTTGGGTTGCAGGCTTGATCCCCAGTGGGGGAGGGGGTGCAGGAGGCAGCCCATTAATGATTCTCTCTCATCATTATGTTTCTATCTCTAGCTTGCTCTTTCTTCCTCTCTGAAATCAATAAAAATATATTAAAAATGAAAATAAAAACCTTTTGAGTTAGTGAAATATGTAAAGGCAATCTGTTTAGAAGATGCAATAAATTAACTGTAAGCATATTTCAAATAAGAGCTCTTAGGTATAAATATTGGAGATTTTCTTTGCTGTAGCAGTTTGCAAAAGTGTATTTTTCAATAAGATACAGAGACACAGATGCTGTCACTCAAGTGGCTATCTCTCCCCAATACTGATTATGTCCTCAGGGTCCCTCTAGAGTGGGCCCTAGGGAACAGCCTTGTGATGACTGGGCTAGAAGAAAGAATGTGGCAAAATGGATAGGTATCTACTTTTCCTTAATTTGTAATCCATACTCACTGAAATCTCTTTCCCTGCCCCTCTCCCATCTGAAAGGAGGGTTGCTCTGATTTGATGCTACTTCTTTCTTTTGCCTCTAAAATATCAATGCCCTTGTGATTTTGCCATTTGTTAGCTTTTTCTCATCTCCATCTTCATGTTTTCCCTGAATGCCCTGTGTTCACATTCACTTTCATGTCTTGGGCAGTCCCACTCCCTCTACCCTGTGTTGTAAGGACTCCTTGGGTCTCTTATCTCCTGCTCCCATGACCTGTTCCTCAACATAACATTCAGATCTGTTATTTTTATCTGCCTCCTGGGAATCTCCCACTGGATATTCCACGGGTGTCTTTATAAAAAAGACTCCTCTCCAGTCTAATCTTCTGCTTTTCTTCTTTAATTAATATATTTGCCATTAATCTAGGACCCCCAAAGTAGAATTCTTGGCACTGAACCCAATCCTCCCACACAGCTTCTATCACTCTCACATCCCATGTTTAGTCGGTTATCAAGGCTGCTGGGTCTTTCTCCTGTCTCTGAAATATCTTTCAAAGGCATCTTCTCTTCCCTATATTTGCTACCTCATGGCTCAGGTTCCATTTAGGATAGTAGTTAAAGCTCCCAACTGATTCTCCTCATCCTTAAACTCCCTCTAATCCTCTACTTGTCATCAGTTTTCTTTTCCAAAAACACAGATTTAGTCATGTCATTTCCTACTTAAAAATAATTTGTAGCTCTCTGCAGCTTACAAGAGGTATTCAAATCTCTTAGCATGATTTATAGTATGACACCCTTCATTATTTGCCTTCAACCTGCTTTTCCTGTTCTATCATCTGCCATTTCGTCCCCATACTCCATCTGTCCTAAACTATTTTTCATTCCTAGAACATTCCTTGAGTTCCTTCCTGCATCTGTGCTCTTGCACATGTTGTTTCTTCTTCTTTTAGTGTCCATTCTTATCCACTGGTGACTTAATATATTGTTTGAAAAATCAGCTCGTACATGACCTCTTTTCTTTTTAATTATTTTATTGTAGGAGACACTTAACATAAGATCTACATTCTTTTTCATGACCTCTTTTTTAAGTGAGCCTTCCTATCCTCTAAGTTAGGGGTAGGGAACGTCTGGGCCGTGGCTGTATAAGGCCTGAGAAATCATTTGGTCTGGCCCTGCCAGGGCATTATGGGTGATTTAATTAAATATTTGACCAAATATAGCAGCTAATTTTTAAGTTGATAATTTTGTATGGCCTGTGAATGATGTTATAAATATCCAAATGCCCCCCTTTGTATTGGAAACCTTATTAGGGAGCATCTTTGAGTATTTGCTATTGATTTGCCTCTAGCATCTGATTTAAAAGGCATTTTGGGAAAAGAATGTCAGGAAATGAAAAGAGATCTGATTGATTGGAGTTGATCATCTGTGTTCTCCCTCACCATGTGTGAAAATGAAAATATCTTCCTACTGAGAAACAATAGTTTATCCAGTCTTAATGTTTATGTGTTTTTCCAGCTGTTGCAAACTATTCAGAATGGGAACATCAATTTAATTGTTTGTGATTTACTGCCTATTAAAGGAGGAAGGACAGTTACAATATACATATAGAAGTTTAGTTGAAATATACATTGAAGTTGAAGTGTATGCTAGTGACCCTGACTTTCCAGAGATAGTATAGTAACCATGGATAGCTTTGAGTTTTTTCCAGAACTTGGTTTACTACACATCCATATGTTTCAGTGAAGCTGTTAGAAATAAAGAAAACAGATATAAATTTTACCATATTAGAGCCCATTTCTACTAATCTTAGATATACAGATAAACTGAAGTGACCAAAAAGCATAAAAGAATAGCAGACACTTAATGGGCCTTAGACTCCTTATAACTGCTTAATGATCTCCTTGTTTTCCTCCTGCCTTGTGCCACTCCTAGATTGGCCGCGGACACAGTTAGAGGCATTAAAAATCTATAACCTGAGTAATTCTGTGAGAATAACATGCTACTATTTATGTGTGAAAATAGAACTTTCATTTAATGTTTAAAAAATATTTAATTTTTTAAGGCATGCTTTTCCTTTTATTTTTCAGAAAACAAAAGATTTAGTACATATATCACTATATCCTATTTATACATCAGTTTCTAATTGAAACTCTTGCATTTGCTGTTTAGTTAAAATGACAACATAAATTCAAATGGCCATAGTTCAATATTTTTAGAAGACCATGACAATTTTGAGTTAAAAATCAGTATTTTATCTCTTAGTAATCTATCAAATCAAGGAATTTTAATGGATTCACATAGTATGCTAATTGAGATAGCATTTACAAGCACTCATGCTTTCTTCTTTTAAAAGAGCTAGATTGGCCCTGACCAGTTTGGCTCAGTGGATAGAATGTCGGCCTGCGGACTCAAGGGTCCCAGGTTCAATTCCGGTCAGGGGCATGTGCCTTGGTTGCGGGCACATACCCAGTAGGGAGTGTGCAGGAGGCAGCTCTTTTTTCTGATCGATGTTTCTAACTCTCTGTCCCTCTCCCTTCCTCTCTGTGGAAAATCAATAAAATATATTTTTTAAAAAAGAGCTAGATCGGTATCATAGACAATGATGTAAAATATTTTATGTACAATATTCCCAACATGTTGCAAAATGTGAATTCTCCTTTCTAAGTTATAGTTTACTAATGTATAAATACATAGTTTATGTGTACTATGTGCTGTGTGAAGAGAGAGAACCCACAATCCTTCTGTGAATGGTTAAAATACTAGTAAAGGCTATATGAAAATCACGAGCAAGTGTTTATTGAAATGAGCTGATGTTTATTGAAATAGCCATGTAGGACAGTGACTTGAGTATTATAGGACAGTGACTAGTTAAGAAGCATTTACATTGAGGAAGGTTGTGATAGTAACTATTGAATTCAAGGTGATACTTTTAGGAGCCTCAGGAGCCATACGGAATAGTGTTAATGGGCACACTGTCTGATTTTAAATAGGAATTTTAAAACATACACATTTAAGACAGGCTAGATGGAATCACTCTTCTATTGTTTAAATACTAATCTTCACATTGAAACATATTTAAAATGATTTGCCTGTTCTGTAAATACTGTTTTTATTCCTGGTTATTGATGATGATGATAGCGAAATTTTCTTACTATTGTGAGATTGTCATTATTTTGGGTTTTCTGAAGGGAGGCCTGGGGAGAGAGGTTGGGATATAGGGTTGCAAAGGCTGCTTTGCCTGTCTGGTTAGCGAGCTGTGTGTGCAAGAGGATCTTGGACTGTATTTGGACAATGAAAACAAAAAACATGGCAGGTATTTGGGTATGAAAATATAATGAAGGAAAGCAATGGAGTCTTAATGAATTTTCTAGGGAGGAAGAGGTATGGCTGTTTTAGCTAATCATGATACCTAAGATTTCTGCAGGAAAAAGAACATATGATACTTTTCCTTAAAACAGCTATGGTGAGTAAAAAAAAAACACAACATGTGCATGGAGGGGAAACCTTGTACAGTATTGATAACTATGCAGAGGATCAGCTATTCTCTTGATCTTTATAAATGGTAATGCGGGATCTTTTCCTTCCATCACCACTGTGTCTGATGATACTTTGCCATTTCTTACCCACGTTATAAATAAATGCTTTGAGACTCACAGAAATAACCCGACTGCTGGGGCTTAAGTCACTGTCCATGGCCACACCTTCTATGATTTTGACACATGTTTCTGCTCTGCCTGTCAATGTCAGGTATAGTCACAGTGTGTATGAGTGTGTAGTGTGTAGTGTGTGTGGTAGTGGGGGGACTTTTCCATTAATGATACTGGGTTTCCATATCCACATGATTAGAGTGAATGAGTATGTAGTGTGTTCTATTTTGCATCACTAGCAAC